GCATACTGTGTGATTTTTATGCATTGTTTGGTCTGTACAGTGTATTAGGACTTCGTTTAAATTGTTTAAATGTTGTATGGAACTGTTTTAGACCTAAAACTAGTTTAGAGGAACATTAATCTATAATGGGATTAATTGAAGGAGCAATATAAAGTTTAAGAAAAACTTAAATGCTGAACACTATTGGACCAGTTTTGTGCACTGGAACTTAGTAAGATTTTGTGACATGATTTAATTATAAATATAAATCATATATCCATAATATTATAAGCATAGGGAATTAACTAAACTTACCTATGCTTAGCTTGAGTTAAATTGATACTTAAATTTCTATTAATTGTATTAATTCGTAGACTATATTGGAAGATTTGCTAGGTTTATATACCAAAGCTTGGCAAGTTTGTTGTGTATTATTTAAATATATATATAAATCATAATTCTATAGTATTTGAAGTATAGTGAATTAACTGAATTTCCCTATGCTTAACTTGGGTTTATTTGATACTTAAATTGTTCTAAATTGTATCAATTCATGGATTATGTTGGAAAATGTAAATGTGTGCAAATTGTGTAGCAATTTACATTATTTGAGTTGGATTTTAGGCTCGGTATTGAATGCCTAATATTTATGTATATAGATTAACTTATCTTGTGCATACTGTGGAATGTGGTTGATGACTATTTAATATTGTTTTGTCAACTATGTTAACTGGAGGATTGTATGTACCGGTATGGGACGGTGACATACTAGGTATGGATTAGTTCAAGCACTAAATCCTACCTAATTTGGAATGAGTTGGATTAACCATAAAAATATTAAGTCCTACTTATATGGATATATATGAACCGGTATGGGACGATGTCATATTAGGGATGGTTTAGTTCAAAACACTAAGACCTACCTATATTGGGAATGGATTAGTTCAAAATACTAAGTCCTACCAAATTTGGATTAAGGTATGGATTAACCATAAATATTAAGTCCATCACATACTTGTGTCATGTCAATCAAATAAATTGAATGACCTATTATGGTTTCAGGATGGATTTGTCATACATATATCAGACCACTATACAGATGGATGATATTTTGTACTAGGAGTACAGACTTTATATATTTATTATATATGCTATGGTATGAGCTTGAGTTTCAGGACCATGGTTAGGGCGCATATATCGCCTAGGATGGATAACTGGACATAGGTGTTGTTTCCTGGTAGGTCTAGGTACTCATACCCACCTTCGGGTGTGTATTCGCATGTTGCCTTCTATTCAGGCTGAGACAGACCTACTGGACTAGCGAGCGTCCTATAATGTGTACTATATATACATATATGGACTAATCTAGATATTGTTGAGTCTTTCTAGGATGTATCTGCGTATCGGATTACTGTTTGGATCGTAGTAGATCTGGACTTGCATGTGGGCCTAACCCACTCCTTTATTTTTTAGGTGCTCGGCAGTTCCAGAATTAGAGGTTGATTGTGCAAAGTAGATACAGACTTCCATTCCACCGACTACGTAGGACCACTTTCTATGTTTAGCTTTACGTTTTATTTCCAGTTCGAGACTTTTTATTAGGGGTCCTCTAGAAGGATTCCCGAGTTGTATGGATTGGTGGTTTGGATTATCGGATTTAAAATATTTATAATTCAAGGTTTATTAATTTAGTTTCTTCCAGCTATTTAATTTTATTTCTTATTTCACTTTGTATTCCGTGTTCGATTTAAAATACTTTAATTGTTCGATATCCCTCGGGTTTGGGCCTGGGCCTGATAAACCCGTGTATCAAATCCGAGGGGTATCACACTTTTGATGTTGATATGAGAGCAAAATGGACTTAGTGTACTACTTGATGTTGAGATGAGAAAGAAAAATGGACTTTTTGTACCATTTGATGTTTCATTTGTGCTATATTCGGTAAGAAGGAAAGAAGTGGGGTGGAAGGAAAATAGGAAAGAATGAACAAATTTCCTTCGTTCGGTAGAGATGATATAAGAAAAGAAAGGATAATAGGAAGGATGAGGTATCCTCCCTCCTTCACAAATTTTCATCCGTCCAAATATGGGCGGAAGATAGGAGAAAAGACAAGTGAGACTATTATAGAAGTTTTAAATTACTACATCACCCTTCAAAAATATTAAATAAATCCTATAAATTAAGTAAAGGATGGGTTTAATGGTAAAAATAATTTAAAATTTATCTTTCCTTTTATCCTATTTATCATCCATTCTCTTCCATCCAACAAAACAAAAAAGAGGGAAACGCTTAATTTCTTCCCTAGGGATGTCTCAATCATCTTTCTTCTCTCTATTCCATTTAATTTTTTTTCCTTCCAACCGAACAGAGCTTTGATGCTGAGATAAGAGAGAAAAATGGACGTGAAAATAAGAAAAGGTTTCACACTACTCATATACACAACTTTTATGAATATTTTACTAAAAAAAAGGTTTTGCAAGAATGTTTTACTACAATTGATAAATGAATGGAAAGATCATGGGAAGTTAATAATGTTCCTAAACATGATTTAAAAATGTAAAACTTATATATTAGTGACCAAATTAAATAAAAGATCATTTATAATAATTTATATGAAATTTGGAATTATAAAATATTCCATCATAACTCTTCTTTCAAGTCAAGAGAGACTTCTCCTCTAATCAAATGCCAAAAAAGAAGATCATTTCAAACAGATGATAAATACAAGGCTACATAAGATAATCCCCTTTAAAATACTGAAGCAATCATGTTGTGAATGAGACTCAGCCATGAATTTTTCATGATTTAGGACTACGTGGTTCCGGCTAATTACAAAGAGATACATAAGCAAATGTGTCAATTTTATTCGTCTGATGCCAGTTGTTCATGATAAAAAAAAAAAAAGGTTTAGAGTGGGACTTTCTTCACGGAATTTTAGGTATGCAAAATCCACCTCCACTCTGCATAGAACTTGCAACTTTTAATTAACCTGATTCCAAGTTAATTGATAATGCAAAATTATATTTAACTTGCAATCAAAATATAGTGTTTTTTTTGTAGCTTAGATCAACTTTCTATAATCTTTTGTGTGGTACAATAGCATTTCTGTCCTAGTTCTTCTGTATGCACAAGTGCAAGGTAGTTGTAATCATGGGCGGACCTTTTAATGGGCTAGCCTGGGCTATAGCCCAGGTCCAATTTTTAAAAAAATTTTAGTACTACTATTCTTATCTGTCTAGTTTATGTGTAATCAATTTTTAGTACAACTTTTTCTCTTCCTATCAACCCAATTCAACCCAATCCATAGTACTTCTCTTCCTCTTCTTATCAGCCCAATGCATATGTGATATGTTATCAATTTTTACTACTCTTCAGCTACTTCCTTTCAACACAGGGTGGTATTTTCCCTCATAGTGTTTGGCCTATTTGGGGTCTACCAAGGAAATTGTAGAAACTTGAGAGGTGGTCCAATTTCTCATCTTTTGAATAAATATTAATATAAAATCGGTGAAGAGAATATGTAGAAGAAGAATAATTTCTCTAAATTAAGAAAACTCTATTTACAGGTGATTTTTAATTTTTTCCCCCTTTAAAAACTTGATTTGATATATGAGAACGTCGTCGTGTTTTGGTCTATTTTTTAATATAAGAAAATGGAGAAAGTCAATAATGAACACACGAAATGTCAAACACAAACAAAGCCCTTAACTTCATGGCCAAACATCTGGGCCCGTCCCAAGTATCAAATCAATGTAGTGAGACTCGGCTGAAGCCCAAAGGGTTGCGCCACGACCGAGTCCCCCAATACTATTAGTGAAGTTGTAGTTGATCGAGTGCTTTGGTAGCTCATTTTCCATGGAGCCTAAACCGCAGTAGCCATTTCATTTGAGGTGATTGTGAACATATTTTTATTATAAGAATTATTATGTTCATCTTCAAATTTTCTTATTATCTTTAGTCTTTCTTACTTTGCAATTTTGGCTTTGCGCTTATTAGGGTTTAAAAACTTAACAAATGGGTCAAGGGAGACTCTGAAATAGTGGTTGATTGTGTTGTTGAATTAAAGATAGGAAAATGTTAAATTTGACCAGAAAACAATGAATGGATTTATTTAAGATATTTTAGCATTAAAAGTAGATAAGAGTTGAAAATTTAACTCTATATATATTTTATATATATATATATATAAGTGAGTTACCTATTAATCAAGCTAAACGATCCAAAATCTCCTCCCAAGGGCCCGAAGCTCCACACCAGTAACCCCATCACTCTCAAGAGGTCATGTCTTTAATTCTTGAGATATATAGGCAAAAGTGACAATAACCGACCTTTTCCTACGCCACAGGTGTCCGGCTAATCAAAATTTTTGATCATTGGTAATTTTGTACTAATAAGCTTTCATTCCTAAATATATATTCACACACACACACACACACACACACAAAGAATCCAGCAATCCACATTGTCATACCATGGTGAAGTTTAACATATTACCTTTCTTAGGGGCAACTCTAACTCTTTTTGCATAGATTTTTAAGTTAGTTGTCAATGAGACACACTCAACTAGGTGCTCATATTTAATGAAAAAAAAAAAAAAAAATTATAACTCTACATTTCATTTTAACATTATAATCATATAATTACTATGAAAAATGATATTTCTAGCTAAAAAATAAAAAAATAAAATAAATTTCTCAAACCGTATCGTTTGGGTGTGAATAGTAAGGTCCAGCAAGTTATTATTCATTAGATTTTCTATAGTTAAGGCCTCCAAAATTCCAAATAGTCAACTATATTGGTGCAGTTACAAACAAACCCTAACCATATACCATTTGTAGCAATGTTAGGAGTGGAACATTTGGCCACGGTGCTATATATAACTATCAAGTTTGTAAATAAATAAATCAAAGTTTATAACTTAACAAATGGCAGGTAAGTTGCGTTGGTGGACAAGCGTACCGTCCAACTACTAAATTACCAACGGAGAGTCTGACTGAGACATGACCCACCCATTTCCCTTCTCTTAAACCCATCTTACATCCTCTTCTTTTTATTCTCTCTCTAATACATCATTCCATTCTTCAAAAGCCCAGTTCTGTTGCTTTTCAAAATATATATCTCTCTCTAAAAAAAACTCTGTTCTAAAAAGCTCTGTTCATCTGTGGTATGGCTGTTGACTTCCAAGATAGAGAAACTTTTTTTCCTTCTTCAAGGTTGTTCACCCAGGACGAGTCAAGCTCTACTGAGTCTGAATCCATGTTAAACGGGTTTGGTTCATGTGGGTCTTCTTCTTCGGGTTTGAGCACGGTCGGTTCCGAGATGAGCTCAACGAAAACAGAGAACGATGAGGACGATTTCATTGCTGATCTGACTCGTCAAATGGCTGAATACATGCTTCACGAAGACGATGAAAACGCAGCTCCAGATGCTCTATCTGTCAAACCTAAGGTATAATCTAAGTATGTCTTGTGCAGTTTAATTTGTTCAACAAATAATACATGTTTATATATATATATATATATATATATAAATCGCTCGGCTAGACTTCTCGGTTAGAGTTTTAGGTGTAAATAGTATTGTCACTGTAAAGTTTGTACTAATTTGATATTTTGTGTTGTTATTGAAGTGTTCTGATTGCAACTTGGCCTCTAAAGACCTCCACATGTTCACTCCTCATAAAGCTAAACCATACTCTGCTCATTTCAAAAACTCTACTTTTAATCAGGTACTATTACTAAGAATTAATCTATATATATATATATAAAAGAGCATGTCATATAAGGTTTGCATGATCTACTGAAAACCTAGATCTTCAGTTTTCTAATTATTTCTTTTGCTATGATTTGTAGTTTGATGAGTTGAAAGATCAACGGCCTATGGAACAACAAGGCTCTGTTTGTTGGGGAGGACGAGGAAACGTGTATGAGTTAACTCAGCGAGTGAAGCCCAAGCAACAACTTCACAACCGTATAGAAAACCAAGTCAGGGCATGCGGGTTTGGTAATGGTGGAAGGGTTCGTCCACAACAACAAGCCGGGTCGGGCATGAGAGCTGTTTTCCTTGGAAAGTCCGGTTCCAAAAGTGGATCCTGTGGGACCGGAGTTTTCTTGCCACGTGGAACCAGTAGTACATCAGAAACCCAAAAGAAATCAGGTACCTACTGTTTTTTTATTTTTTTTTTTATTTTTTCAGGAGTGTAATGGTGCACCAAATATGGTTGGGAGTTCTAAATCTATATTAAATAATGGAAAATGATTGAAAATTTGGAAAAGTCGGGTAACATTTCTTATAAAGAAAACGAGTAATAAGTTAATTTTTAGTCTATGTTGATTTTTTTTTCTCATGTTTCAAAGGTTGATAATATATGAAGAGCAATGCTTAGGTCCTCACTGAAGATTTACAGTGAGCAATAAAAATATATATATTATTTTTAATTACTAAATTTAATATGGTGGGTAAATACTTACTTACCAAATTATAGAGATGGTGATTTATTATTAATCCACATCACTAGTGAGAATGATATAGATCCTCACTAGTGATGACCTAAGTATTGTTCATATATGAATTATTCTTTGTTTTTTTTAAGTAAAATTTAAGTAAATGCACGTACACTTACAATATTATTCCTAACAAATCGAACAATATTATTCCTAACAAATCGAACACTCAATATCAGGTTTAAAAGGGGATCAAACCATCTTAACACTCATTTTGGTGCTTATGCTTAATGATTTTGTTTTTCCTATTTAATAGTGCAATGAAAATGTAGAGTTAATATATTTACATTTTTTTTTCTTTTTCGGTTTAAAAGGTGTATATTTACATCTTGGTTTTAAGAGAGTGATCATTGCCTGTGTTTCAAAATAAATTTAATGGAAGAATTGTATTTGTAAATTATTACTCAATTTTTTATATTGTAATTTTCATCCATTTTAGGTAATGACATGCCTCCAATGAATTATAATTTTAATCTCTTGAAACGAAATATTTGTTTTTTTTGTTTGATTTGTTTACATTCTAATATAGATTTCCCGAATGGGTGTACTTGATCTGGAATCTAATCAATTATGTACTCGGTTTAATTCCACTTGATTGTGACTTGTTTACTCTCAACTTGTTTATTTTATATCATTTTTTTTTTTTCTAGGTAAAGCGTTTTCTATCTAATTTTCCAAATCTGTTGAAAGATCAGCTACTTCCTGTCTGTCTTTATGTTTGTTGCATTTGGGCCAACCTTACCCGGGAATCTTTGGGGTCCACTTAATTAATGAATGAGTCTAATTTAGCAAATTATAATATCAATAATAAATAAATAAATAAATAAATAAATAAAGACAATTTTGTATATTAATTTTATGTGAGTAAGAATTGATATTATCAGGAGGTGAAGAATATTAATGACAACAAAATAAGTTAGTACAGTTTAGGTGAATAATTGAAGTTGACACTCCAGATCATTATCCTAAAAGGAAATAGAATATTTAGGCCACAAAAATATTTATTTATATATGTACATTATAATATGAATTACCATCTGTACGTATGAATTTTTTGTTTTTGTTTTAACAGCTGTATGTGTGTGTATTGATTGACTAGTATTCTGACTACCCCACATAGTGGAGTTGATGTAAATGCTTGAGATTCAATAGATTCTGTGTAGAAAAATAGGAAAAGTAGTTTATTGATTGATATTACAACTGATGATGAACTTGTGTGCGTGTGTGTATTTTGACTTGTAATGATGATCAGCATGTTCGACGGTTCTTATACCAGCAAGAGTATTGCAGACCCTAAAACTCCACTTTGACGATGTGTCACGATCAAGTGGTTTTGGTGCCTCAAGTGCTCACCACCTGCGACATGGTACATCAACTCCCACTATAACTCTTTTATTTTTATTTTGCCATTATATAAATGTAGTGTAGTTTAGATTTTAGGAATTTAGGAGCTAAAATATACTTTTATAAGGAAAATTAATGCTTCGTACGTTGATTTGAAATCATGGTATATTCATTAGTCATGCTGTCCAATCTCATGTTTTTGATAAGCTGATTTTCACACAGATTCATAAGAATCATAACAAATGTTTTTATTTAAAAATAAATAAAAAATAGTTGATTTTGAGAATGGTTACTTTTTTTTTTTTTTTTTTTCTCTTCAGATAAATTCTATAACTTAATAGATTAACGAACAATCTAATCTAAGTTAGACTGATCAGTTAAACAATTTCATTTGTTATTTTCTTTTTAAATTGAATGAATTGTATTGGTGAAGGGATATGAGATGTGAATTTTATTAGTAGAATTGTTAAAAATGAGATTCAAACTTAAGAATATAGAGTGAGAATATTTAAGGTCTAACATTTTACCATTGGAACAAGCACTTCCATTTCACAATTTGAATGAATACCAATCATGGTGAATTATTAGTCAACGAACTCATGGAGTCTATAATTGGAGAGTTTAATTAGCAATTTGGTTGTGAGACTAATACTATTATTAATTAAGAAATGTAAAAGAGTCGGCTAATCTAGATGTGATGGTTGATATTGTGCAGACGTTGTAATGGGCGGTGGAAGCAATGACATGTATTCTTCTTCACAGCAAAAGCAGAAGCGACAACCACAATCACACCACTACTCTCAAATACAGCAGCAGCCAGAAATAGTGAATGATCATCAGGAGATGGGACTCCCTCGGGAATGGACTTATTGACTTCTCAAACCCCCACTCTTATGCTGTTCTTCCTTCACTATCATCATATATATATATATATGTATGTGTGTGTGTGTGTGTGTGTGTGTGTATGTATGTATGTATCTCTCCATCGTTGATAGTGGTGTTTGATCAAACTGTCAAATATGGGGTACATATAAAAAAGAAAAAGAATAAAGACAATTCAACTACTCAAGGAATCTAGAAGAAGAGAATTTTCTTCGTAATAGAAAGAGATTCTTTTAATAATTGTGTTTGCTCTGAAGAGGGCTGACCATTTTTAGGTTTTAATCCTTTTGTAATAATTCAGCTATCAAGAATGTGTTCTAGCTAGCTGCTTGTGTTGATGCAATTTTTCCTATTTTTTACCATTTCAATTGAAATTGAACCGGTAAAACTCTTGTAATGATTCATCATGTGGTCTTTTTTAATGTTTTTCGATCTCCATAAATTGCAACAATATATAATAAATATAAACAAATAAACACTTCTGTTATTTCAGTATTTTTTTTAACATTTTAAAATATGTGAAAATTTTCCTTTACCATACATTGATAGTCAATTAAAGACTCCAAAATACTTTTAATAATCTCTGACCTTTCTTACATCTTGAAAATTAATATTTTAATTATTTCAAACTCCAAATTCACAAAATGTCTTTACTTAATCAATTTTAAAAAATGTAGCATTTTTTTTTTTTTTTTTTTTTTTGTTTTGCAATTTACCCATGTTTTTCCTTTTATTTTTTATTAAAATAAAAATACTTGATATATATATATGTGTGTGTGTGTGTGTGTGTGACATATATAATGTGTGCACACCAACATGTGTGCTGTTGGTTCAGATTCCATTTGTATATGCATGGGTTGGTTCAGATTCCATTCAATTTTTTAATATGGGTTGACTTTATAATAGTTCGCCTTTTTCACTCCATCGCTCACAATGCATGAAGCTCAGCATTATAATAAAGATGTAATCTAGAAGAAGAAATGAAAAAACTTCCCTCATTATATATATATATATAGAAGAAATGAAAAAACTTCCCTCATTATATATATATATATATATATATATATATATATATATATAATAAAATAGTGCATATATGAACTGAATATATAGCTTGATGGTAAAGACATCAGACAAGCTAGCTAGATCTGGCTGCAGTTTGTTATTTTGTATAGCCATCCCCAATATATTCTAACAAAAAAAAAATTCAAATTCATATATATTTTGATAAAGAGTACTAAACCAACATGAGACTAATAATTTGGTCGTTCAATTTTATCGCTTTCCTCATTTATTAGTTTTGCAAGTGGTTCCCATATTGTTGTGAGCTAGCTCTCTCCTTCACGCATCTATTATCTTAAGCTTGTCTATTATATTATCTTAGGAGTACACGAATATTCAAGTGAACTAACCAATTAATGATTGCTACGTTATAATATAGTATTGCAAATCAGGTGAATAGTCCAAATTAAATATATGCAAAAGACAAAATTATAGTATTTGTGTTCTAAACGATGAAGAGACGTAGTTAAGAAAAATAATAATAAATAAAAAAAAAGTTTTTTTTTTTTTAAATTGTTTTTTTATGTACCAACAAATTGAAATTACTAATATGATTTTTGCACTTGTAGCGAATTCTTAGATTTATTGCTTTTAATTAGTCATTTATATGTGATAAATAAAAGAGTGATACATCTATTTAACATAAATAATTAATCAAAAACCATTTAATTAGACAATTCACTATAAGTTTTTTTTATGTGAGTATCGCTACTCATTTATATCTACTCGAGACAAAACACAATAACGAATATATCTACGCATGAAATTAAAATTTGAATGTTTTTCAAAAGCAGTGTAATCTAAGTAATGTCATCTCTTTCTTTTAAAGGAGATGATAAACGTTTGAGTTTTGTAAAAATAAATGTGTGTATTCTTGTGCATTGTAAAATAAAGATAATTTTTTAAAAAATTACAAAAATAATTTAGAGAGAGAGGTGAGTTTGAGAGGGGGTGAAAAAGATAACTAAAGAGTATTTTTATAATTTAAAAAAAATTATTTTTAGTTTTAAATTTGACATTAAATAATTAAATTAAATTTGTCATTTTACAGACAGGTTAACGGGTCGAACACGAATATTGGAGCAATTTGATCACTTCTCATAATGTAGTGAATTTTTTGAAACAAATTAAAAATTTATAATCAAAATTTTAAAATAATAAAAATTTTATAAAATTAACTCTTTATTTTATTTTATTTTTTCAAGTCGTTCACATATTTTATGTGAGCTAAATCTCTCTTCCACGCATACAATTCCATTATATTAAGTTTGTCTAAAGTGTGAACGAATAAGATTACAAGTAGGAAATGTGATGAAAGGTACAAGAATATTCAGGTGAGTTCGTTCATCTACCCAATTAATAATTGCTACGTTATAATATAGTATTGCAAATCAGGTAAATAGTCGAAATTAAATATACGCAAAAGACAAAATTATACTACGTGTTCTTAAGCTATTCTTAGTTAAGGAGACAGAATTGATGATGAAGAGACGTAGTTAAGAAAAATAATAATAAATAAAAAAGGAGTGTTTTTATTTACCAAGAAATTAAAATTATTAATATTTGCGTGTAATAGAATTAATTCAAAAGAAGAAGATGAATAATTTATATAGGAAAATAAGTTTTTGTACGTTATAGTCAATTGTTAAACCTACTGTTTTTAATTAATCATTTATATAATAAATAAGAGAGTGGAATAAATAATTGATCAAAAATTATTCACTATTCATTCATATCACCTATATAATTAAATTTTGAATGCTTTTCAAATACAGTATAATTTAAGTAGTGTTGTCTTGGGATGGTTAATGTTTGAGTTTCATAAAAACAAATGAGTCTTATGAATTTCTTGCAAATGAAAAATTATATATATGTATATATATATTTAAAATACTTGACGCAATGATCAAACATATAAAACTGCCTTAATGAGACACACAATGGTGGTGTACAAAGTGAGATCTTCGTAAGCTTTGACATTTAGCGTATGAAAAAACTATACTTATTTTATTTGTTGGATGATATAATGGAAAAATAATTTTTCATTACGTGGCAATATATTGTATTAGTAGAAATTCTAATCACGCATCCATTTGCTTTTTGACCTTTAAGATCCAAATTGGAACACGCTTAGAAAGTTAAAAAGCTAATGTACTTGACAGGATATTTTTTAAGAAAATGATATTAGCACTCTGGAAAAAAAAAATTATGATAATTATTAGTATTTTTTGAATATTTAGATTTTTTTTTTTCTTTTGAATATTTAGATTTAAGAAGTGGATTGTAGAGCCCACTATAACGTCTTTATTTTATTGAAATTGATTCATATTTAATCCGTAAGAATTTGCCCAAAAAAAGAGGGGCTTGACTTGGTTGAAATGGCCCAATATTATGTGTTTGTTGGGTTCTCTGGCCCTGGGCCAACTTGTATGCCAAAGTCAAGTTTTGAGTCTATATCGGGCCAATTTGATCCCAGCTCTAGATAGTATCGCTGTGCTTCTTGGATATACATATATACACACACACACCAGTAAAACACACGTGATAAAATTTATTTTTATATATTTATTGAAATTAATAATATAAATATAAAATATATTTATATATTTATAGAATTCTATTTTATTTTGTAAAATTTATATAAAATAAAATAGCTAATTTGTGGTAAAGTTTTATAAAAACTATTTTTAGAAAAACAAAATAAAAATATTAGGCAATATATATATGGATTAATAAATACTGAAATAAAATATAAAATAAGTAATTTGTGGTCGTATTTTTTAAGTATATATTAATAGATAATTTGTGCAGAAATTATTTTAAAAATTATTTTTATGTTAATAAATAATTACTGGAAAACTAAAATTAGTGTTTTAGAAACTTTGTTTAAAACTATTTTTATTTTATTTAATAAATATTTTTTATATTAATAAATAAATATTAAAATACTAAAAACTCTTTACACTTTTAATAATAATATAAATAAATATAGATATATTTATATTTTTCCAGAAAGCTAGGTATCGACCGCTTTGCCTTGACAAATTTTTTACACCATGTAAAAAATTATTTACACGAGTCTTATATTCACACTTCAAAATCAACCTTTGTGACCCGGTTTTGGACCGCCTAATGAAATATGGCCAAATGAAGAGCAACGACACAATCATTATTTCCAAACATACTAATCCAAATAAAAGAAGGAATTAAGAAAGTTCAAAAGCTAATGAACACGCTTAGAAAGTTCAAAAGCTAATGTACTTGACAGGATATTTTTTAAGAAAATGATATTAGCACTCTGGAAAAAAAAAAATTATGATAATTTTTAGTATTTTTTGAATATTTAGATTTTTTTTTTCTTTTGAATATTTAGATTTAAGAAGTGGATTGTAGAGCCCACTATAACGTTTTTATTTTTTTGAAATTGATTCATATTTAGTCCGTAAGAATTAGCCCAAAAAAAAAGGGCTTGACTTGGTTGATATGGCCCAATGAGAAATAATTAACAGTTCGGTGGGCCTCAATATTATGTATTTGTTTTCTTCTCTGGCCCTGGGCCAACTTGTATGCCATAGTCAAGTTTTGAGTCTAGACATGTATCGGGCCAATTTGATCCCAGCTCTAGATAGTATCGCTGTGCTTCTTGGATATATATATACACACACACCAGTAAAACACACGTGATAAAATGTATTTTTATATATTTATTGAAATTAATAATATAAATATAAAATATATTTATATATTTATAGAATTCTATTTTATTTTGTAAAATTTATATAAAATAAAATAAGTAATTTGTGGTAGAGTTTTAACTCTTTTTAGAAAAACAAAATAAAAATATTAGGCAATATATATATGGCTTAATAAATACTGAAATAAAATATAAATTAAGTAATTTGTGGTCATATTTTTTAAGTATATATTAATAGATAATTTGTGCAGAAATTATTTTAAAAATTCTTTTTATGTTAATAAATAATTACTGGTAAAACTAATTTTAGTGTTTTAGAAACTTTGTTTAAAACTATTTTTATTTTAATTAATAAATATTTTTTATATTAATAAATAAATATTAAAATACTAAAAACTCTTTACACTTTTAATAATAATATAAATAAATATAGATATATTTATATTTTTCCAGAAAGCTAGGTATCGACTAGGAATGGCAACGGGGCGGGTTTGGAGCGGGTTTCTCTAAATCCCACCCTGCCCCTTTCAATTTTTGTCAAGTCCATGCCCGCCCTGAGACCCGCGGCGGGTTGGATTTTCATGTTCAGTCCTGCCCCGTTGGAAAATACTGTGCCCCCGTGCTTGCCCGGCTAATAAATTTTTTTCTCCCACTTTTTGGAACTTAAGCTCCTGCTATTTAAATGTGGAAAGCCGGGGAACGGCACAACATAAATGAAATTATATATCCCAACAAAAATAAAAAAATAACATGTACATAACATAATTCAGAGAACATAATAAATAAAAATAAAAGTTTAATATAATCAAATCATAAGAAGTTCTAAGTTCCGACTTCCACCATAACTAAAACAAAAACAAATTTAATACCAAATTTACATCCTAAATTAGGATTGTAAGATATGGGGAATTGGGTAAACATGTAAAATAAGTTATTTATATATATATAATTATATGCTTAGCGGGTTGGGGCGGGACGGGACTCCTAGGATATATATACTGAATCCTTACCCGCCACGTGACCCGCGACGGGTACACAATTTGTATCCATACTCGCCCCAACGGTATAAAAAGTGTTCCTATATCCGTTATTAATGGGGCGAGATGGGGCAGGGCTCCGACGGGACGGTAAAAATTGACATCCCTAGTATCGACCGCTTTGCCTTGACTAATTTTTTACACCATGTAAAAAATTATTTACACGAGTCTTATATTCACACTTCAAAATCAACCTTTGTGACCCGGTTTTGGACCGCCTAATGAAATATGGCCAAATGAAGAGCAACGACACAATCATTATTTCCAAACATACTAATCCAAATAAAAGAAGGAATTAAGAAACAAGTATTTAACCGTCTTTCACTTGTCATTTTCATAACCTACCCAAGACTGTATAGACTCAATACAGTGTTACAAATTAATTGAAGAGTTATGCTCATTTGGGCAAAAAAATTTTTAACCTCCCAGAAAACAGAAGAGACAAATTAAGAAAACAGAAACAACCAAACTAGTCCGTTTACTAACTTTTTTACTTTCTTACTTTTGTTTTCTTCAAAAGTAAAAATATGATTTTAATTTCTTAAACTGAAATAGAAAATAAAATTATGTTTAGTAATATTTCATATTCATTAAAATTTTGAAAGCAAAATAACAAAATCAAGTTTAATAATTATGATTTTGCTTTTATTTTTTTACCGTTACTGTAGTTCTATCATCTACCATTCCAATCCCACCATCTCCCAGTTCAATTTCGCATCCACCAACCTCCATTTCTACCTAACTACAAACTGCTAGAAACCACCACCACCTCCTATCATAGCTTTCAAACATCAATAATGTCACCACAAACCTCTTTCCAACACAAAATTAAATTCTCTTCCAGAACCAAGATGTTTAGCACCATCCAAAACCGCCTCTTCCCATTATAATTGCTCCAATCACAGTATAAAAAAATAAAATAAAAAAAAAATTATAAAAAAACCTAAAACAGGCCGTTTCTGCAACAACGATAAAAATCTTCCACTGCACCGTCCTTCGATCCCACAGACTGACAGACAGACGACATCAAGGTGAGCTCTCTCTCTCCACCCTCTTCAAAAGTTAATTAAGGTTTTAGGTAAAATTTTTGTTCAAGTGGGCCTCTTCCATATGCCCGATCAGATTCTGCTGCTAAGGATCGTACTTGTGAGAAGGGCAAAAGTACCAGACGAATGATAAGGGCAAAAGTACCAGAAGAATGATAATGGCACACATTTTGAACATTAACAAGATCCTTACAAAAACTCTCTGATCCCGCCGCCATACAGTCTTAGATCGGCAATCAAACCAGAAATCTCAACCCATTATCGTCGTGATTCTCCTTGTCGTCGTCAGAATCTTTCATTGTCGTATTCGTTGTTGTGTGCCTAACTCTTTAATTTTGTGCTAAGGATTCAAGGTAAGAAAACAGTGGGAGGAAGAGGGGGGATTTTGTCCTTGAGGATGAGAGAGAAAAAAAATTCAGATTTGAGGAAAGCATAACTTACTTATGTCCCATCACTGCCGATATAATGGTCGCCGGCGATGCCGATCGGCGAATCATCTTCGTCGGAGTTGCCCATCTGGTGGCCATAATCGTGGTACATGGGAGAGAGAATTGTAGGTTGTGTGGTTATTGTTATAAACGACGGAACATAACGTGTTTTTTAAGTTTCGCTACAATAGCGGAAGTAATTCCTCTGCTACAGTGGAGAAAACAAGAAAATGAGATAAAAATACTTTCTGAAAGTAAAAAAGTAGAAATATGTTAATAAACATAATTTTCACTTTTACTTTTTATTTTTAAGAATTGACAGAAAAAATTAAAAAGTAAAATTGTTACAAAACAGGCTAAGAAAACAGAAACAGATCATCCTGAATGACTTTAGACAACAGCCACGAGGACCAAACATTCCACTTCGCATCTTTTGATTATTTTTGCTGAATGACTCCATATTTACTAAGAAGAGTTTATTCTTACTTATTTGATGAGATATGATACTGATTACGCCCGTTAAAGAAAATTCTTCTCGGTGGCCCACATCTTTTACGCCCGTTAAAGAAAATTCTTCTCGTGGTCCACATCTTTTTGTTTCACTCGTTAGTCAATTTTCGACAACTAAAGAATTTTCTCATCACTTGAACCAAATAATGTCTTACAATTACAACCCTAATACCTTGTCAAACACACACACACACACACACACACACACACACAGATGGAAGAAGAAAAGAGACGCGGAGTGGTGCTAGTCCCATGTCCATTTCAAGGACACATAAACCCTATGCTTCAACTAGGCACTACCCTTCACTCCATGGGCTTCTCAATCACAGTTGCGCACACTCAATTCAACTATCCTGATCCTTCGAAACACCCCGATTTCATCTTCATACCCATTCAAGATGCCTTAACCGATACCAATACGTTGTCCGGCAATCTCATACCTTTTATTAAAACTCTTAACATCAACTGTGAAGTGCCCTTACAAGAATGCTTGGCTCAAATGATGGACCAGAACCAGGACCAGCATGGTAAGGTGGTCTGCATAATCTACGACACCCTCATGTACTTTTCGGAAGCTGTGGCTAATCACCTCAAACTTCCGAGCATCGTCCTGCGTACCAGTGATGCTTACTCCAGCCTCGCTTACCGTTCAGTTCTCCGGCTCCAAGCTGAAGGCCGTTCAGTTCCGAGCATCATCCAAGGTATGTGCCAACCAAAGACTGGTCAATATAATTTAAGACCTTACTGTAAAATTTTAAATTTTGTTTTTTAATGTTTAATATATTTATATTAAGTAATTGTTTATTTAGAAAATATAGGAGATTGAGTGAGATGTTGAGTGGGACTATGGGAGATGCAGAGATTGTATTCAAGGTTTTTTAAAAAAATAGAAAAAAATAAGAATTTTAATAGAATGTGAAAAAATACTTGGGAGTATTTTACAATAGCTGCTCGTTGAATTAGAATAACTATATGATCAATTAAATTTAAGGATTGGGTCTTAGGTTATCAGTGGACCCAGCATAACATGAGTAGAAGGGAGGAGTTCGAGTTCGAGTCTGAGTGTTTCCGTAGATTGTTGAGTGTTGGAGAGAATTGGATCGTGGAGTGTTGGAAGCTTCTAAAATAATGGAAGGAGTGCGTGCGTTTTTTTTTTTTAGGGGAGAGTGACTTGTGAATATGTAGAGACTTTGAGAGGAGATGATGTAGGATGCCTATAAATAAGTGTGGAGGTCATTTATTGACCAAGATTGAGAGGTAAGATATCACACCCTGTATTGATGCGTCATATCTTCCACGGTGTCTGACCACATTTATAGATGAGTTGATTACTGTTAAATGAAAGAAACCCATGTTCCCATTTTCACAATTTGGCTAACATCTAGAAAGAAGATAACATCTATAATGTTTTCACTTACTTCTGTTGTTATTTTTTATATATATTGTTTATATATTGCAAAAAAAATAAAAAATCATTTCCAAAGAAAAATAAGGAAATCACAAATTTGAAACAAAGTAGGCCGTTACTCAGGATTCAGAGGTTGGAAACTAAGTCATACGCAACAATAATGACTGCTAGAGCGAAATGAGAAAGAGGCAAAATAAGTCACACAGAGTGAGCGGTAACCAGAGAACACGCGACGTGTGAGAATGGCACCCATTGAAGCAGCATCCCTTTAAAAAAAAAATTGTGCGACTTAATTTCAAAACTCCATATCGTTGCGCTATCTATAATTAGCTATAAAACTAAAATTTAACTCTTCTACACAATATTTAAGAAAAAAATTCCATTCACCTCAATTTCAATCAACAGCATTGAGATATAAATTGTAAATCAATAGTAGCACTTGGAATATATTCTAGAGTTGCATTTGGAGCATTGTTTTTCAACTTCATATCACATCTTAAATGGACAGTTGTAAAAATTCACTAATATATATAAGTGATACCATAGCAATACCACCATGTATTGCAGATTCTGTGTTGCAGGATCTAGTGCCTGGCCTTCATCCCCTCAGGTTCAAGGATCTACCACTTTCCAATTTCGGACCTTTGGAAAACTTGCTACAGTTAGTTACAATAATAAGCAATATTAGAACATCTTCAGCCATCATTTGGAACACTATGGACTACCTTGAGTGTCCCTCACTGACACAGCTCCAGCAACAGTACAAAGTTCCATTGTTCTCAGTTGGCCCTTTGCATAAAATTTCTCCAGCCTCCTCTAGTAGCTTGCTAGAGGAGGACGCTAATTGCATTTCTTGGCTTGACAAGCAGGCTCTTAACTCAGTTATCTATGTAAGCTTGGGGAGCTTAGCTTCCTTGGATGAGGCAGCTCTAACCGAGATGGCTTGGGGGCTAGCCAACAGCAATCAACCATTCTTGTGGGTTGTTCGACCTGGTTCAATTCGCGGTTCGGAATGGATAGAGCTGTTGCCGGAAACTTTCAAAGCAAAATTTGGAGACACAGGTTATATTGTGAAATGGGCACCCCAAGGAAAGGTGTTGGCACATGGTGCGGTGGGAGGGTTTTGGAGCCACTGTGGTTGGAATTCAACCTTGGAAAGTATCTGTGAAGGGGTTCCAATGATTTGCTGGCCATGTTTCGGGGACCAGAAAGTGAATGCAAGGTATCTGAGTTGTGAATGGAGGATAGGGCTAGAGTTGGAGCATATGGAGAGAGGGAATATAGAGAGAGCTGTAAGAAGACTAATGGTGGACAAAGAAGGAGAGGAAATGAGGCAGAGAGCGATGGATTTAAAGGAGAAGGCTGAGGTTTGTATCAGGAAAGGTGGTTCTTCCTACAATTCCTTGAATGACTTGAAAGAAATCATCCTGTCATTCTAATTGCTAGTGAAATAGAAGGGCCTCGTTTAGCAGCATTCATTGTCTAATGCCATGTTGCAACTCAAACATTTAAATTGTTTTCTGCTTTATCCATGGAATCTGTTGTAACCTGTTTAGACCTTCATTTCTTCTTCCTATGCTGCACTAAGTATATGCAATGTTAACAAGATCAAGAATCCTTTTAAATTTGTGTGTGTGTGTGTGTGTGAGAAAGAGAGAGAGAGAGAGAGAGGGTTCAAGTTTGACGACTTTCGAATAAAGAACAACAAAAGGAGAGTGGAGAAAATTGCAGGGAGAAAAGAAAGTATTTGATGTCAAATTTATGTTTTCTGATGGAGAATTTTTTTCTAAACAAATAGTAACTCTTTATTTGGCTCAAAAGTATTTTTTAAGCAAGCAATGATTTTCGGTATTTAAAAAAAAAGAAAATTATGTTTATAGATTTATAGGAAGACAGTTATAAGCTTATAAGAGACTGACTTTGCTGCTGCCATTATAAGAAATCAAGTCTATACAGCCCTCCAGTGAATCTCCAAAACAGAAAAAGTTCAAGACATGCTTTCAATTAAGTTCTTTTACGATTTCAGGTCAATCATCACCATGATGATTCATATCCAGATCATGTCAAGATTTTCAGGTCAATCATCGCTTTCAATTAATTTTTGGATGTATTATTTGATAATTGAAGGAATAAAAGTTAATTATACATTTCGCAGTACATATATTTATAATAATAGAGACCTAACCTAACTCTAGAAGAAACTAAAATATTAAGAAACCTAATAGTAAAGGAATATATTTCCTAAAAGAAATTAAATAAAACTACACTAAATATAAAAATATATATAAATAAAATAAATAAGAAATTTAAGTAATAAAAATTACTAAGTGAATAAAATTGCCCTGTCCCCTCTACTTTTAAAAAAATTAGTCTTCAAATTTTGTTACGGATCATATATGAGTATGAACAAAATTCGATACCATTGATGATTTGATATTGGTGCTTCATAAACTTGTTTTTTAGTTGTCCACACCAATTGTGATATATTTTCAATCTCACTTGACAATTTAAAAGAAAAGAAATTATTTGAGATATACTCAATTTCACGAGGCATGACAACAAAGAAATTCTTCTGCTCTACTTCAATAGATTCCAGGTCCAAAAAAAAATCAAATTAAAATTGTGACAAATTTTAGGAGATATTCTTGTTATTGGATAATTGTTCTGAAAATCATCCACCCAATCGAATACCTTTGGATAGATATTGAAATTCAATTGGAATACCATTAAAGTAATTAATGGGAAAGTCAATTATTGTCGCGCTTTCCAAGCCAGTTGTAATTGAATGGATATTGAAATTGAATTGGAATACCAGTAAGATTATTGTCACGCTTTCCAAGAGTTGTAATTGAATGCCTTTGGATATATATTGAAATTCAATTGGAATACCAGTAACTCCAGTAAGGTAATTAATGGGAAAGTCAATTATTGCCACGCTTTCCAAGCACCATCCGTGGCACCATTAACAATATGTTGTACAGTAACATCACCGACACGTATTGTGGTAGTACAGCCAAACACCAAATTATACTCAACTGCTATGATGAATTATGCTCATTCCGCACAATGTTTTGACGATTAGCGTACCACGCAATCTCCTCGCATTGCCGAATTTCTTTCAAGCCATCCTTTATGTCTTGAGGACTCCGGAATTTTTCATGTGTCTCTACAACGAATGAAGTTTGGACAACTTCATCATCGTCAACAAGAGGTGATGAATCAACAAAATTTTTCTCCTGATTAATCTCACAATAAGATGGAAGAAATTTGACTTATAAAAGGCATTTCATCTTCAACCAAAATTGTACCCGTAATTTTCTTAGTCGTGCACGAAAAACTCGCAACTGTTCTCGCCAATTAAAAATTATTCCTTCTAATTTGTATGCGACCAACCCCACCTTATTTTCTTCTTTAATTTTCATGTAATCAAAGAAACTCTCAAAATTTTCTAGCCAATCTAGGAAATCTTCAACATGAAAGAGACCATCAAAACTAGTAGGAAAATTCCTAGGATCATAATACCCAGGATTAGAATAAATTCGCTTGTCTTTATGACAACCAAACATGTTTTCAGTGTAATCTTCATCATCATCATCACTGAATTCATCCTCGTAGGCTAACTGCCTACATGGTAGGATGGGGTTGCGATTCTGAAGAGGATGAACACGATCTTCGTCAATGTTACACATCTTATTGCTCTCGCGATTTTGCTCCAACTCAAACCTAGCAATCATTACTTGAATATCTTGCAACGTTCGTCGGGTTTTACATTGATAGCCTTGAAATTCGGCCCTAAAAGGAGCCACTCTCTGCCGATCTTCGTGGCTAGCGAGGTTGCCATCACCACGTTCAAGACAAGGCTCTGATACCAACTGATTGACGTAAGCGGAAGGAATAAATTTGTTCAGGAGAAACAGGTTACCTTAGTTGCTTTGAATCCACAAGGTGGGTATTTTGAATCCACAAAACGGAAACACATTTTAGAGAAATATGATATATTATTTGAAAATTGAATGAATAAAAGTTAATTCTGCACTTTGCAGTACATTTATTTATAATAATAGAAACCTAACTTTAGAAGAAAACTAAAATATAAAAAAACCTAATAGCAAAAGGAATATAATTCCTAAAAGAATTAAATAAAACTACACTTCCTATTAAAAATATAAAAATAAAATAAATAAGAAGTTTAAGTAATAAAAATTACTAAGGGGATAAAATTGTCCATATCAAATACATTTTAATTTATGCATAAAAAAGACTCCCTAGGCTTGCCTAAAGGGACTTGTGGCAGATTTCTAATACATTTTAATTTATGCATAAAAGTATGCATAAAAAGGACTATCTAAAGTTGACTAAACAAAAGCCTAAACATTAGCCTAATCTGCCACAATCATTGAGTCAACTTATACATATGATTTCCAACACTCCCTCTCAAGCTGTCAACTTATAGATATGATTTCCAACACTCCCCCTTTAGTTGTAGGGAAAATATCAATCAAGTTTAGCTTGACTATATCAAAACGTGAAACAACCGTATCATTTCCACAATAAGACTGTAATGCTACTGAACACACCGGTAGCCTAAATGAGGCAATAAATACTGTTGGAGATATGAAAACGGCGAACACCATGCTATTGAACACATCGACAGTCCAACAAGGCAAAGAATGATGCTATTGAACACACCGATAGCCTAACAAGGCAAAGAACGATGCTACCAAACACACCGGCAGCCTAACAAGGGAAAGAATGATGCTACCGAACACACCGATAGCCTAAACAAGACACAGACAACACTGAGAGACCCTTCGCAGATGTCGAATGCTAAAGGGATAGCCCCAAAAAAAAAGGATCTTAACCTGGGAGGAGAGCTTCCCTATATCGGAGCGATCCATCCGAAAAATGAAAAAGATCCGAAACAAAGCTGGAAATACCAGAACAACGCCAGGAAAAAGGCTGTGCAATATTCACTTGGGCCAAAACAGAGAGCTCCAACAAAACAAAACCTTTAACAACCCAAAACAGAGAGTTCCAACAAAATTAAATGACAAAAGAGAAATCTGAAAAATGAAAGGAGATGATGATGGACCGCAGTTGGAGATGAGGCTTATGCCACCATCTCCGACGGTGGCTCTGATACCAAAAAGAAATCTGAAAAATTGGTGTACAAGAGGAAAATTACAAATATGAAAATAGAATAAAAATTAAACCCCTAAACAAAAGTCTAAACATTAGCCTATAATAAAGATCCAATAAATCTGCCACAATTATCTAATCAACTTATAGATATGAATTTCAACAATATTGATTGTGCCTTGCATCAAACTCAATATAAACAAAATTATCTCTCTGCCATCTAGAAATAATTTAGTATTACACGTGACTGAGTTATGGTAGATTTATAGGAGTAATACATTTTAATTTATGCATAAAAGACTCCCTAGGGTTGACAAAAGAAATCTGAAGTAATAATATTGATTGTGATTCGCCATCAAACTCAATATAAAAAAAATTATCTCTCTGCCATCTAGAAGTAATTTAGTATTACACGTGACTGACATATGGCAGATTTCTAATACATTTTAATTTATGCTTAAAAAGGACTCCCTAGGGTTGACTAAAGGCAATTCTATTTCTTGCAGCGAAAGGATAATACCAGTACTGAAGAAAAATTTCTGCAGTACTACTCGCAGATCATTAGAGAGAGACACACACAGAGAGATGGGAAAACAAGGACAGAGGTGTAGTAGATTGGTGCTAGTCCCATGTCCATTCCAAGGCCACATAAACCCAATGCTTCAGTTAGGCGCAATCCTACACTCCAAGGGCTTCTCTATAACAATTGTTCACATCCAGTTCAACTCTCCTAACCCTTCCAATCATCCTAATTTCACTTTTTTACCCATACAGGATGCCCTAAGTGGTTATGATGCCACCACTACGGATATCATCTCTAACATGAAAGCTCTAAACGTTAATTTAACGCTCCCTTTCCAAGAAAGCTTGGCTCAGATGATGAAGCAAGAGGAGAAGAAAGAAAGGATTGCATGTGTCATATATGATGTTATCATGTACAAGGCAGAAGAGGCTGCAAACCATCTAAAGCTTCCAACCATTGTCCTGGTGACAGACAGCGCTGCTACTAGGCTAACTCAAGTTACCTATCCACAACTTCAAGCAGAGGGTTACATTCCCCCAAAAGGTTCTTGTTTATTCTGTAATACCCCGATATTTTAAAGGAATTATTAATGAAAATTAATTACTTTTATTTTATTTTAAATGATTTATTTGATTTAATTTGAATTAATTGTGTTTATTTTATTTTTATTTGTTTTAATTGAGTGCTTAGATTAATTGTTTTAGTTTAATTAGATTATATTGTGTGATTTCAGTTGTTGAATTTATATGGTGTTTTGTTTTGTGAAATGATGTGATTGAATTATTTGTTTGAATTGTGTATATTTATGCTTGTGTGAATTGTTTGTTAATTATTTGTAATTATTAGATTTAATTTAATTAAGTTAATTATTTTATTTTAATTGAATT